ACCCCACCACGGTCAGCCGGTTGGCCTACAGGTTCACGCGTAGTCATATGTGTTGCCCTCCATATCGTTTTGAGGGTTGTGTAATAAAACAAGCGCAGTGGAGTTATTTTAAACTAAAAGGGTTTATCAAATGTCCGAACATAAAGTTAAAACCCATTAACAGTCTGAGTGCTTTTAATGTCAGGTAATGTGCTTAATTCGCGCGCCTCACTTATAGCTTTCATTATTAATCCGATTATTATTGGATGCATTGTAATTAGCTCTAAAATGCTCCTTCCTCATTTGTAATTACCACTTGTATGTTTCATGTTACCAAAGCGGTGTTTGGCTAAGCTTAGCAATTAAGATTTTAAGCGCTTTTCTAAATTGAGTATAAAACGTTAAAACTTAATCAACTTCCCTGTGACTCGTGTTTCAACAATTAACCAGCCACATGATGCACGTGAACCACATGAAGTGTTTTACTGTAGACTTGCTGTTATTGAAGTTAGACGTTTTGTGTACAACATTTAAAAATGTTTTGGTAAATACTTAGATTTGTTCAACTTGTCTACCATTTTAGTTATGGGTAATATTTCACGCCAACATCATGTAACATCAGATAAAACTAGCTGTTTTACCCGTGCTTTGCAAAAGGAAGAGGATGTGAACAAAAATAATGTTGTTCTTTAAATCTTCTGTATAAAATAGTTACATATATTTATCCATTTTAGAAACAAAAGATAATTTTACCGTACTATATAATGTGGTAAAATGCTTGTCTTTAAATTCAGACAAAGAGTTATATTTTCCTGCGCAACTAATTACAGTGTAAAAGTAATGGGGCTGATGCATGTTTAACAATGATATAATACTATGATTTACCCGACTTACTAACTTTCAAAACCCTACTTCATTTAAATTCAATAGATCCAAAAGAATCGAACATACCGTAGTAACTTCTTGAAATTGATGTTTCATAAAAGAGGATGTAATACCCTAATTATTCAATTTCGGTCAAGTCTGTAGCTTATTATACGGGGTGAATAAAAAGTCAAGACCCCCCCCCCCCCCCCATTTAATATTTTTATAAGTTTATATATAGAGATATCCTTTTAGTGGTCATGCAATCTAAGTTTCATTTTATGATTTTTTTAAATTTTGAGTGTCCCCCGAAAATGGGGCATTTTTAGGGCAACTACATTTTTTTATGCAAACCCCCTTCAAGTAACACCTCATTTTGAGGTGGTTGCAGAAACTTAAACAATGGTGAAATCGAAAGCTCACGATTCCCTCTCTATCAAAAATGGTAGCCAATACTACCATTACATTGATTTTTCTCACCTTTTTAATGTGTAGATTACAATACATTTGACAAGCTACCTATAATGATAATATAACATATATTATATATTAATGAAACTTCCTGACGAGATTACATGACCACCAAAAAGATATCTCTGTTTATTTACTAAGTTTTGCATATACTACGATATAATATTTTTATAATTTTATTATATAAAACTATAATATTTTCCAAAATATTGTTCACACTAGCATTATTATTTTAATATTTATGTACTATTCCCATTCTAATTAAAATAGTTAACATATTTTTAATAATAATCTGTGTGTATGAATATTTACGTTGTTTAGTTTACTTACCAAACCATTTATAAAATTAATATTATGGTAGTAACAATGGAAGGGATATTTATTTATCGAAGGTTGTGTTAGGTTTGAACAACGTATTGTTTCTACATATAAAGAATGGCAGCACAACCTAGCGGACAGCGCTGCAACTACCGGAGCAGTGTCCGGCGAGCGACATCTACCGAGATCAATATCAACTGTTTGATATTCAGCTTTTACCTGTTGCCACCAGGTGTTTTACGTAGCGTCAATACAGTACTACAAAAGTATGAATGGCAATGAACATCCATTGATATCTTTCCTTATTTATCTCAAGTTCTTTCCACTCTCCTTATTCGTCTTGAATGAAAAGTTTAACAGTCGTTGATATTTTAACGTTGGTAATTTTTCGTAGCATTGCACACTTTGTTATTTATAATACTACAATTTCTTTATCACAATTTATTGGATATTTGTCGCACAAAAACTTTACTAAATACCCCCGACGCAGCAAACCTGCTGTCTAAGCGAATTTCCATTTGTCTGAATTGATTTTCAATTAAATCTATTTAAATAACATTAGGTTTGATGAGTACTGTACCTAGATTTGCTGCTACAAGGAAACTAATAAAGTGTATTTTTTAGTAAAATATCAATAGCTAAGAGTAAAATAAATTACAAGTTTTATAAAAACATATCCATAAACAAGCAAACTACATTTTACAATATTCTCCATAAGAATAACATGGGAATTTTTTATTTAAATTTGTTTGAATTTTCCCCGTAACTAATAACCGTACAAAACACTTTGATATAATTAATTATATTTTTTTAAGCTCTTTAAAAAGGTCTAGAGCGAAATTGGGATTTTTTTTAGTTTTGAGGGTCAAAAATGAGAAAAACCATTTTTTACCCCATTAAAGCCCCCGGGGGTAAAACCATAGATTAAACATACTCCCTTAGGAGTATGTTTAATTTATGGTAAAACCCTGTCCCAATGGTCCGATCATGCTGGTCCGCGAACTCATTCAAGTGTATCCTGCCTTACACCTTTAAACCAAATTTCTTAAAAATCGGACAAAAATTTTTTAAGTTAACACGTTCACGGACGTGTGTATATATATATATATAAATCTATATTAAATATATACATACATACAAATTTGAACGAATGGTGTTTTTGGCCTCTGGGAACATCAAAATGAAAAAGTAAATCGGTCCCGGGCCTAGATCTTACCGTGCCACCTACAGTTATATCCCTATAGGGAAATTCGCTAAAAGTAGTGAGTGTTGTTAGTACAAAACGGATGCCTTAACTTTTTCACTCGTCTATTTAGTGTTTTGATTAAATAGTTAGGCTACCATAGTTCTCTAGCTAGGGCTGAGAAGTATAACCAAAGTTTCGTTAAAAATATTTATTACCATAGTCACTAACATCAGTTAGCATCATCAGTTAGTCACCAACTGTGATGAAAATCATCAAAATATACACATCGTCTAGTACATACGAATGTACAGATCCACTACAGTTTTTACTACAGCTGTATCTGACACCATTAAGATTTATATTTACAAGGGATAATAATATTAATCGTTTTATTTCAGTTTTTTTTGTGAGTTTCCTTGTAAGGAGCCATCACAGTAGTGCTTGTGGAGACCTAGTTACGTAACTAACGTATCTTCTTGCTTTAGAATCCCTGGAGCCAACAACTCAAAGACACCGCACACTAAATTGTTTAGAAGTCGCGTATACATTAAACTCTTCAAACACTGTTGATTCCCGATAAAACTTGGATAAAACGAGTAAACCAGCATATGTATGGTCTGTAAGGGTCCCCGAGCCACGACAATATTTACAGTTCAAATAGTCTCAAGTGTTAAAGAGAGTCAGCAAAACTGCATATCAGCGAGGGTCTCTCGTTCACCTTTATAAAACCTCGTTATATTTACCAAAACCTCCTCTGTACCAATTACAAATGAGCGACTCCTTTATAAGATCAACCAATACTCAATATCACTAACTTGTCTCTTTACCCTAACTTAAAAGCTACCAAATATAGCTTTCACACTGTTCAAAATGGTCACCAATGATATTCAGTACTTAAAAAAGTGACTCCCTTTTTCTAAATACACACTGTCAACTATATTGGTGGAACTAAGACCCTTAGACCGTGGGAGAGGACAACTGTCTCAACAGTGCTACCAACGTTGTGAATTGCGATACAGTGACAACACCTTGAAGCACCGGGTCCAGCAGGCGTACCAACGTAAACAACAACACAGGACGTCTCACTCTCTGTTTACCAAGGATCACTAGTTTTGCAATTCAGATTGACTTGTACCTACAACATCATTTATCATCACAAACTGTCCACAACTAATAGAAACTATTTATAGAATGATGTCACAGAGGCTTATGAATACTTTGGTGTAGTAAATACAGTCAAAACTATTATTTAGACGAGACACAATAAGGGCGCCAGTAATAAAAGTGTTGAGGTTATTTTTTTATTCTATTTTAATTAATAATACTAATAGAATATTAATTATTAAGCTAAATTAAAAATATAATATACTATTCAACAGTATTACTAGTCCAGTCATGTGGCATTGCAAAGATCGTGATAGGGAACAAGCCGAAGGTCTGGTGGTTAGTTAGGACCGTAGGACCCGAACTCAGGAATAGTTTATTTTTTGTTTTGTTTCCCAGAGGCCAAATACACCATTTCATCAAATTTGAATGTAGTATATGAGAGGTGCCCTGTTTGCAAATTGCACATTATAATAAGGCTCAAAACTTGTATCCGAGACATAAGGCCCCTTTACCTTTAACTAGGCTTACTTACTAGATCTACTAATTCCTGAAATTTGTTTATTTCATGCTAAGCTATTAAAATTGTAATTAATAACATACACCCTGTAGCAGCAAACCTTATTACTCACTAAAATTCAAACCGTAGTTTCATCAGATTAATCTGCTTGTGAGACTAATATACCTTTCAAACTCTGCTGTCATCTGTAAGGGGCTTGATAGCCTTCCCTTTTCAAAAACTTCTAAATGGGTCAATTAGTATAGATAGTGCATTCGTAACATGCGTTCCAATGTCTTTACACCATAAAATCGCTATCAAACTAATTTGCTTTCTTCCTGTTTAGATCCCAGTAGAAGTTTGATATATTCAATATTCTCGATTACCTATCTTATTACTTCAGGGGTAAAGTCTTCTGGGATACATAGGTGACTTGTTAAAGAAGTGTAGAAAAAAGCATATCATGATTAAAAGCGAGGAGGAAAGGCACTTTCTAAAAATTTGTCTCAGTCTTTTTTGTGATTTCCCTTAACTATTTCCTCGTTGAGCGACATGGTGATATGTTTTATATTGTTCCAGATTCTCTACCAAGGAGTCGGCCACCCATGCCATAGTAGCAGTCCACAACACAGATATCAATGGTCAGCCAGTCAAGTGCTCGTGGGGGAAGGAATCTGGTGACCCTAACAATGCACAAGCAGCAGGACAGGTAATTTGTACACTAGCTCCTTTCTACTTTATTAAGAAACCTTTTTTCAGGTTTTTTCCAGATATAGTTTTATGAGAAGCAAATTCTCAAACTAAAATACTATTATAAGAGTTCACTAATACTCAGATTTCTACATCTCGTTTATCTCCAAACAAACAAAAAATATTAATATTTATAATTACACTAGCTGTTGTACCCGTGCTTTGCAACGGGAAGAGAACACGAAATAGAAACACTCTAATCTTTACATCTGTTGATCTGTCTAAATCCGCCAACGCTTTTAGAAACAAAATTCAACTTTTATGGCCGAAATGGAAGCATTTAAGTTATGACTTTTAAATCTGGTAAGTAGTGGATACCACAATTTTGGTTTGACTAATTTTAAATCTTGTGTAGGCTGATATGAGAAAACTGACCAAATCTTCGAATAAAACTTTAACATACATGATTTACCTTCATCTCCAATAATTACATATCTTTTTTCTTTATTTTTGACATTTTCAATTTCAATTTTGAAGTTGCAAAAATACTAATTATTAAATTTAAATGAACATTTTTTTATTTCATTCTTCTTCATATTAAATCACAAATCCTTCCATCTACAGTTTCTTCACTCACAATAAATCATTAGCAAAACGGAGTGTATTTTATCTATAGCAAAACTAAGTCAGCTGTTGTAAACTTTAGAAATATTGTTGTGCCTTATCAAATAGTCTTTTGAAATATGAAAGAAACTATATCTATACTATAAAAATGTTTAAACAAATAATTTTGCATTAAAGACAGCAGACAAAACTAATATGATTATATCAACCCATCAAGGACAAAAAAATGTGATAGCAAATACAGTATATGTTTCATTGAATCTCTGATTCTACCCTCCAAAAATATCAACAAACAACTTAATATACAAACAAGTTCTTTTAATCAGTTCCATCGTCCATTGAGTAAACACACACACTTATCACACTTACCATTGAGTAAACATAGTAACAGATATTTCATTGATCTTAGAAACAAAATAACACTGTGTACTGCTTAGTTTTATGATATTTTCCTTGGTTTAATTTAATCAGTGGTGTGGCAAAACACAATAGTAAATTTATCAAATAAAGTAAATGCTAATTTAAAGCTATGTTAAGATAAAATAAGAGTATTTTGTATTACCATTTAATAATTAAATATAGTTATACATATACAACAGATTTTAGAACACAAAAATCAACACAATTTAGTTATTGATGATATTTTTTTAGTTTAATTTAAGCATAGGTTTAGCAAAACACAATAACTAAATTTACCTAAATATACATATAAAAAAAAAAACAGTGTGATGTGCAAGTTATGTTAAGTTAATCTAACTTATGTTAAGCAGTTCAAATTTAGTTAAAGTAGCCTCCAAATTCATACAAAACATCTATACATTTTAATTTTCTTACTGTTTCCATGACAATATATCAATAACATTATTTTAATAACACTTAAGACAATTTAAAAATCGAAAGCAGAGCCTGTGTTGATGCAGCAATGCTTTTAGAATATATTTTGTATTTCTATAATCATTGACATAGTTTTTGAAAAAATCATCTTTGATAAATTTTTAGATTAAATAAATCAACCACATAATTGTGTGAAATATTATATTTAACTTCATTGGATCAGCTGTCTTAAATTGAGAAATATGCAATTTGGCAGTTCTTCTTGTTTCAATTGAAATGTAAATGTAAACATTGTGAGTATTCTTATTGCAGCCATAGAGACCAATTAAAATTTTTTAGTTTTAAAATCCTCAACTCAGAACTTTTAAAGCCAAAGGGGCGAAGCCATCGGTCGGTATCAAAATGTGAATAGTCCTATAATGGTCCTTGGTATGGTAACTATATTTTTGTAAAATTTAAACCCAGTTGGTTCAGTAGTTTTTGCACCTATTACTAATACACATACAGACAGACACCATTAGATTTTTATATAATACGAGTAGTATAGATATGATTTATGATTCTTATCTTGAAATATCGCACCTTGAATGTTATATAGATGACCTAGTTCAAAATGTATCTTTTAATATTAATTAAGAAAACTATAAAGCATTCTTCTGTATTTTTAGAAGGTCCCTGTATAAGATTGTACTAAGTGATCATATGTTCGAGTATTCTTAAAATTATTCTGTATAAAATTATTCTTCGTAAAATGTGTTGACATTATGCATTAACACTTTGAGCTTATATACTTTTCAATTTCTTTGGATACAGTAGTCATTATCACGAAACTAGGTTTGTAGCTTGTCCTCATAATTGTGTACACAATATGCATCTATGTACAGTATTTAGGCAGTTGTCACTGTCACAAGCTGCGTATTCAGCCGATCTTTACTGTGGCACATACAAGTGATGCATAGATTTTAACATGTTGGATAATAAAGTGAGCCACTGTTTGAGGCAACTACCACAGTTTTAAAGAGAGGATGGTAGTTGACGTTCACGAGGTTTAGTTTCGTAAACTAAATTTACACAATATAATGTTAGCATATTATTGCATTTTAATTTATCACCAATACACCACTAGCCCAAATCCCAGGGTACATTTCAGTCTCACAAGGTATATTAAAGATTCGATATGCTGTGGCTGCTGTGCTACTGTGCTATTCAATGCACCTGACAGCTGGTCTCTTCAGTTCACTAACTTTTCCAACCTGTTCAACTCTATACTGACTGACGGATTTGTCAATGATAATGATCTGTACTTTTCACGACGTGGGTTATTTTTATGTCACACATTTAGATTTTCATTTATTTATAGCCAGCAATTACGTGTGTGTATGTTCAAAAAGAAGACTCTTTAAGCGAATTACTTATAGTTATATACGCTATTACCGTAGGTCTCATGGTAAGACCCAGGACCGATTTGCTTTTTCGTTTTGATCTAAAAACGAATGGGGTTTTGGTCTACAGGAACCTTCCTATAGGCCAAAAACACCATTCGTTCATATTTATATATGCATTTGTAATCAATATAAGACAGGGTTTACTCTCACACGAAGCTGTATTTATGTGACTCTTAGCACGTTATCTCGAGCAAAATGGTCCGATTGTAATGACTTTTGGTATAAACGTGTAATCCTACATTTATTCGAACGGGTTTGCGAACCAGCATGATCAGACCATGTGAACATGGGGGCATATTGGCGATCGGGGGGGGGGGGGGGGTTAAGGGGCAAAAGTAGTTATTATTCAAAGTTAAGGTTTAAAGGTTTTATTCAAATTGTTTACTCTAAGAAAAACATAATTTTGTAGTTTATTTCCAGACCATTTTGTAGAGCTTAAAAGAACAAATAATTTAGTATAACGACGCGTTGTTATGCATCTAATGGTTTAGGAGAAAATTCCAAAAAACTTTAATTTTAAAATTCTTATGTTATTCTTACAGCGAATAAGTAAACTGATTTAGTTTGCTTGTTTATAAACGTATTTTGATCAAATTTGGGAAATTTTTGATTTCATACCAAATTATTAACATTTAACCATAAAATAACACTATTACCTTCCCTTTTGCAGCAAACCTACGTACTTATTAAACTTATGCCATTTGAATAGGGAATATGAAATTATTAAGGTAATATTTTAGTGAAAATCCTATCAGGCAAATGGAAATTCTTTTAGTCTGCAGGTTTGCCTCGACGGGGGTATCTCAATAACTTGTGGTTAAACTTTAAGAAACTGCATTGTGTAATTTATAAACTACATTTTTCTGAATAACCAAAAAAGATTAATTAAGTTGAATAACTTAATGAATAATTTTATTTAATGTAATTGTAAAATAGTGTTATGATTATTTACATAAAGCTTATTAAACAACGTTGCTCGATATTATACTAATATAAACAAAATTAACAGGACATTTCCATGTCAAACATGGTCCATTAAGCTAAAGGGCAAATTAAGTTGCATCAAATGGACGCGGCTTCTGACATGCTGCATATTACATAGGTTCATTACAGCTGTTGGGATACATACATTAAGCCTTCACTCATCGCCCCTAACTTATACATTATTTATATACTGTTTATTATTGATGTAATAAATGAAATTATACATATAATTCAAACACGCTTTATAGCTATTGGCTATAATTGATGATATGAGTAATACAAAGAGTGAATGTAAATCATGTGCATTAATTCGACAGTATTAAACGAAAATTAAATTGTGTTGCCCTTTACGACAGTAAAGTTTAGAGCAAGTTTATACTTTCTCCCCCTAAAGTAGCCTATATAGAGAAGTGGAGAAAGTATTGTTTTCGTAAATATTTTCGAGTTTGAGTTTTGGGATAGATATATTCATCTTCATGGGGACCTCCCCATGAATCCGGAATAGTGGTTTTCGTAGTGATGTATGCATGTGTCTGTATGTCTAATTTTGATTACATTTGGTATGTGCTTACTTATATGATTTCCAGCAGTTTATTTGCATTTTTTTTTAATTTTAATGGAGATTTGACTTTAACGACCTAGTAAATGATGGAATGATCAGATTACAAAAATTCTCGAAGGATATTTATAACATTTTAGTAAGTTATAGTATTTTTGACTCCAAACAAAATGGTACAACCCCCATTGCCATAAACTTTACGGCTCAAAAATTATTGCAAACTTTGTGATTGTACCAATAAAACAGTATATTTAAATGTGTATCTCAGGCTTACTCATGATAATGGTTGTCGACAAGTATGTGTAGGATTGTTGATACCGTTTATTTCTGTAAAATATGAAAGCTACTCAGCTGAATGCAAACTATCATCATTCATCATTTTTATTTTGACTTGAATAATACCAATGATAATACACACATTTACACAATATATACATATACATATTTAATATACACATTTACTACAAGTTGTTAAAATACCTCTAATACAAAGGGGTGTGACGGCGTGGCGGGTAGGCAATGTGGTAAAACAAAGTCAACCAAAAAGAAATATGAATTTTGAACTGTTTGAAGTTTAAAATGATGTTGTCGGACTGTTTAAAATGGTTTACACCTTTCTAACCAACTAAGAGCATTAAAAAAAAAATAAAAGGGAAAATATGTTATTGGTTTCTACATAGAGAATTACTTTCAGCGAAATTTCCTTTAGGGAAACTATTACCGTAGTTACCGAGACTACTGCTACTAGACTTGGGGAGCGAGCTTGTCTAGTGGTTAAAGAGCGGGACTTAAATAGGTCACTGACCTCCCGGGTTCAAATCCCGCTAAATCAGCAATGGATTTTATCCTAGTGATATTATATTGCCGCAACCCTTAGGTCTAGCCTGAAGTAATGTGAAAAACAATCCCGGACTTGTGCTTCTTAGGACCTAAAAAACCCTACTCCTACACTAAGACGCAAACCTGGATCGATTTTCCTTTTTTAATTTTAAATTTAAATGTTTTACTCGTTTAAATTTGTGTATATTTTATATATGTGTGTAACCGTTAACAAGATATAAATTGAGTAATTTTGGTCCGATTTAGGTTTAAACGTGTGGCGTGATTTTTAAGGTCTACAAAATGAAGAGATTAGTTGTAAATAAGAGATCAATATGCCTTAATTTCGTCTAGTGATTCCTACAACCTCCTCTATGGGCAAATGGCGCTTGTTCCTTAGTAGTTCATAGTAGTAGTCGAATATTTATTTTTTTGTCTCAATGTTTGATTGTGCGTGTTTAATGTTTTGAATATAATCCAAAGCAGGTGTCATAGCCACCGAAACCATCGTTATCCTACTTTAGAGGAGGTTTTAGGAATCGCGAAACGAATCAAAGTAGATTAATCTCTTATTTATATGTTTAAGTGATTTGAGTCTACTCCCAAATAATAAATAATAAATAGGCCTACACATAATTGTTTAAAAAGGAATTGCAAATGTTTATGTTTCAATGAGCAAAAATAGTAAACCCCCAATTTACCTTATACAACTGCCCATAAAACCCCGTCCCCATAATCTGATCATGCTAGTTCAAACAAATTTTTAATAATAAAATAATATACAGTATAAATTTACATTTTGTTTGAAATTTACACGTTTGTACCAAATTTTATCTAAATCGTATTATCTTTACTCGAATTATCGTATGTATAAATACAGGGTGTTGATAAAAATGTTGGGGGCACAATTTACGTAATGATTTCTTGGGTAAAAATAAAGAGAAAATCAAGAATAAAACTTTTTCCAAAATGTAGCCTATGTTAAGGCAGAAGAGACTCAAGATCGAAAAAAACTAACTTGTTTTAATCAAAACTTTTAAAATGGAGGTAATTTAATTTGTTAATTTAAATTACTATAAATGGCTTATTATTAACATTAGTTATTAGCCAAAAAGACGTGTAAAACACCTTTATGTAGCCTTGAAAATGCCCTATAAAACTACACAAAGTTCAAAGTGATGGAATAAAAATAACTTAAATATCACGATACAGTCTGGATTTTGCCTCATTGAACATCTAAAAATCGTGTTATTTATGTTATTTTTAATTAGATCTTTTTTGAACCTGGTATCGTTTGATAGGAAATCTTAAATTCTAAATCAACACGCCCCAGACATTTTTTAGTTAAATCAACTATTATTTTTTAATTTAGATATAAAAGTTTCTTTGGCCATTATTTCAAAATTTTAAATTGAATCAAGGAAACTTTGTTTATAACATGGGTCTCCTCTACCCTAACATGCGTATCATGCTTCATAAATTTTGGTTGAAACAATCTAAAGATAAAACTTTTGTGTAAAAAAACTTTGGATTTCCAATTAACCAAGAGATTTATAAAACAAGTTTTATTCTTGATTTTCTACTTATTTTGACCCAAGGATACATTATTTCTCCACCTTTTTTTCAAGACCCTGTTTACATGAGTTTGAACAAATAGTGTTTTTGGCTTCTGAGGACTTCAAAACGATAAAGGAAATCGGTCCTGAGTCTAGGTCTCGCCATGAAACCTACAGTAATAGTTTATTCCATATATGAAAAAATCGCTAAGACCACCGATTGGATCTTGTTTAAGCCCTTATTTAATCTATTATATATATATTTGTTACCTATTTCGTTTTGTCAATGATAATTACAAAACTCCTAAGATACTATAAAACGTGCGTGTTATAAATTAGAAGAGACCATGTTACGATAATGCTAATTTATAAGGGACACATTAGCTCAGCAGCTATTGCAACAGAAACAAAATAAACTAAATTAGTCGAAATAATTAGTAAGAAGTAATGGGGCCCGAAAGATGCTATCTCGATATATATTACAGAGTGAGGGAGCAATTTACATATAAATATCGCAAGTTTGGCTCGTTAACAGCGAGAATAAACATCGTCGCGTTGACCAAACACAGCCAGCCCGTGATAACATGTCCAGCCGATACCCCACGATTTACTCGCTATACGCCACTTACCCCAACTCTTACAATGTTGTGTAGTGACTCTCTATGTAGCGTTGACCAAACACAGCCAGCCCCGTGATAACATGTCCAGCCGATACCCCACGATTTACTCGCTATACGCCACTTACCCCAACTCTTACAATGTTGTGTAGTGACTCTCTATGTAGCGTTGACCAAACACAGCCAGCCCCGTGATAACATGTCCAGCCGATACCCCACGATTTACTCGCTATACGCCACTTACCCCAACTCTTACAATGTTGTGTAGTGACTCTCTATGTAGCGTTGACCAAACACAGCCAGCCCCGTGATAACATGTCCAGGCGATACCCCACGATTTACTCGCTATATGCCACTTACCCCAACTCTTACAATGTTGTGTAGTGACTCTCTATGTAGCGTTGACCAAACACAGCCAGCCCCGTGATAACATGTCCAGCCGATACCCCACGATTTACTCGCTATACGCCACTTACCCCAACTCTTACAATGTTGTGTAGTGACTCTCTATGTAGCGTTGACCAAACACAGCCAGCCCCGTGATAACATGTCCAGCCGATACCCCACGATTTACTCTCTATACGCCACTTACCCCAACTCTTACAATGTTGTGTAGTGACTCTCTATGTAGCGTTGACCTGGAGAGTCACTACACAACATTGTAAGAGTTGGGGTAAGTGGCGTATAGAGGGTAAATCGTGGGGTATCGGGTATGGGGTATCGGGGGGTAAGTAGCGTTGACCAAACACAGCCAGCCCCGTGATAACATGTCCAGCCGATACCCCACGATTTACCCTCTATACGCCACTTACCCCAACTCTTACAATGTTGTGTAGTGACTCTCCAGGTCAACGCTACATAGAGAGTCACTACACAACATTGTAAGAGTTGGGGTAAGTGGCGTATAGCGAGTAAATCGTGGGGTATCGGCTGGACATGTTATCACGGGGCTGGCTGTGTTTGGTCAACGCTACATAGAGAGTCACTACACAACATTGTAAGAGTTGGGGTAAGTGGCGTATAGCGAGTAAATCGTGGGGTATCGGCTGGACATGTTATCACGGGGCTGGCTGTGTTTGGTCAACGCTACATAGAGAGTCACTACACAACATTGTAAGAGTTGGGGTAAGTGGCGTATAGCGAGTAAATCGTGGGGTATCGGCTGGACATGTTATCACGGGGCTGACTGTGTTAATAAATAATTTAATAAAAACTGATTTATAAAAATTTAAATTTAATATTTTGTTGGGGTTGGTAGCTCATCTCTAACTCGTCCAATTTTAATTATCAATAGCTCAAATGAAAACCCTTACGTCATTAAATATTTAAGAATGAACTGCAAGCGTTAATACTAACTGAAGATATAAGGAAAATAATCATAAAAAATGTTCAAAGTACAAAACGTTTAAAACGAAAAAAGGTATTTTAAAACGGATTTCGGCAATGGAATACGCGTGAAAATCTAGTTTATACAGTAATAATGTGTCACAACACTGCTATACAACAAAAAATGTATATCCAATAAGGTGGAGACAAAATGGCGGCCAAAATACGTTTCCCATCGAAATGAAGTACTGACCACCCAATAAATATCGGTGTTGGTACCAAGTCAATATTTAGAAAATTGTACATAGAAAATGCGTGTGGTATCTTTTTTTTTATTTGTCCAGTGTTGGGAAAATCCGACTCTGCACACCCAAAACTACAACATAAAACCATAAAACGTTTTCTTGTATTGTTTTTAAGGTTATATTCTATATTTCTCGGACTAATAAGAAATAGATTTTTGCTTATTCTCTTTATGGATTTATTTATTTATTTATTTGACGGTAACAACAATTTACAATAATATGCTAATATGCTTTCAATATCTCTGTAACAAATTGAAGCAGAACAATGATTCAATATACTAAATTGTTAGGTTTTTCTTGTTGAATCTCATGGTGAAAAAACGAATTTGAAGTTACCACAAACTTTGTACAAAAAATTAGAAAAAGTTATATTTGAGGTAAACAAATCTTATTTTTTAGCACATAACACCCTTAAAATTCATCTTTGGGTTACTTTGTCCGCCTGGTTTACATATTGAAGGTTGGAAATAATAGTTCTACATGTGTTTGCCAATTTTCGTGGAAATCGGCCAATCCTGAACTATGAACCGACGAATTTGCCGTCATCTTGTAGATTTGAGGGCCTTGCGGCGGCCATCTTGGAAAAAACCCGACTTCCGGTTGTCCAATTTTGTTAGACTTTTTTCCTGGTACTTTCTACTCCTATTACTACCAAAAACTGTCGAAAAACCATTTGTTGGAATTTGTTCTATCTCAAATGCCTATATTTATCCGACCATTATACTAACTCTTACGATTTTACCAAAGAGTCTCATCTTCAAGTATGTTGCTTGTTACAGCCACTGACGGGAGCCCAGTTCCCCTACGCCTATGGACAGCAGTTGGGCTACTGGTATCCTCAGAGCTACCCTACCACAGCCGCTGCTGCTGCTCAAATGCAGGGGCAGTTTCTGCAAGGCATGCAGGGCTATACCTACGGCCAGTTTGGTTATCAGCAGGGCTACATGGGGTAATTTCAGATTAATTTTCCATTGTTGATAATTATTCTTAGCTATTAATAGTCCTATTATTCATTAGCATGTGTATTGATCTGGGAAAACCAAATTACTAATCTTTATCATTTATTGTACTGTTTCTACATTATTTCAAAATTTCATTTGAAGTGTTTTTGATCCATATCTAAGAAAACAAAGTGGTTTATGAACAACGAATACAAGACTAGTGTTGTGATTTAAATTTGTCACAATTTTTTTCATAATGCCAGGATAAATGGCAAGGCCATGTCTTTTACAAATGCTAGATTCTTAATGTTTACTATAGGCCTAAGAGTGTTTTTTGTACACCAGTAATTAGATAAAACACTAACAATCACCCACTAATTGTAAATATTTAATTGTTTTATTTTAAATGGGTATTGCAATGGACTTTAAAACTAAGCTTTCTTACTGGTATTAGATGAATTTATAGATATCTCCTATATTGAAATTCAAAGTATCCATGCATATTATTTTACTCTCATAACATTTAAATTTTAGTTGTTGAAAAGCCAAATCTCTATTAATCCATTCAAAAATATAATTTTAAACATTGATGATTAACATAGGATATCTACTCAGACAATTCTATTGATTATGGATCGTTATGGCAAATTTATGTTAACAGTTTTAACACAAAAATCACTCCGTGTAAGTAAAGATATTTCATGAATCTATAAGCAATATTTTTATAAATTTTCCGAAGATTGTACATAACAAAGATTACTTATTTCAACAAAAAAGTGTGTATCATAACGTCACCTTCTCACACAATATACTCCAGTATATTTAGATGGTCAGATAATTGTATTTATTATCTACTCTTTTCGGTTAGTTTTTAGTTAAGAGTGGCAAAGGATTACAGTAAGCTTAATACAGTTTTAGGGTGTCTTGTGATTTTTTTAATATGTATTACTATTTTAAAATTTTTTTTTGTAATATATAGAAAATTTATTCCATAAAAAGCCAAATTAATACTATAAAAATTGGCTACATTGTTGTATGTGACAATTAATTAGTATGCCCGGTGTTACACAAATAATGTTCATCAGCAGAGCTAATATAATTAAATAAAGCACAAAAACGCAGTGCGACATACGGGCTCTTCTAATAACAAATTAAATTATGCCCGTTGCTAAAAATGCAGGGTTAAACATCAAAACACTGTTTAATATTAATGTGAGTACCCGAGAGTGGTTTTATGTGCGATTTATCAAATTAAAAAATCGTGTGGGAACATAATTAATTAGTTTACTGCTACATCGGTCCCGTTGGCAATTAACGATTGGCTGATAATGGAGCCGCATTGGTCGGTGGCTGGTGTGAACTCGGTGACACTGTGTAGGTGTTAAGTAAGCGAAGATAACAAGGAAAGTGTAAGTGAATTAGTTAATTGAATACGAAGTAGGTAATTAATTATGTTTGGGTTGTGTGGCAGAGTGCACTCGCGGGTTCGTTTGTTTTGCCATTATAATAATGTAATCACCCGAGGTGTGTGGTGTTTATACAGACGCACGGTTTGTTAGGTACGCGTGTAGTACGTGGCACCTGACACGATCAATAAACTCGACCTATCACATTCAACACCAACTCAATCCATTATAAAAAAGAAAAAAAGTTTTTCCTACAGTTACCTGACAAAGTAGGCTTTCTTGTACTGATTATAGCACGTAAAGTAGCTAATTGCTGCATTTATTTACTTTTGCCACACTCATTTATCCCGCACTCCAGTATTCCAACCAAACAACAAAAACATCGAGTATTAGGCACGTAATACGTGTACGCTTGAAAATAAGTTGGCAACACACTACAACTACGATCAGCTGGTGCAGTGTTTCTCATACTAAACGCTTGGATTTTACTTAACCTAAAACGTGTTGCTTAGTGTTTGAAACACTAATTATTTCTATGCTTTATAGTAACTGTACTAAAAATATAATGTGTAACACGAGCGCAAAGTGTCTTTGCTGCACTCGAGAAACTTTCCACATTTCTAAATGTACAGTGCAATTTTGCACACTAGTTACACTAATAACTATTTCCCTATCTAGAACAATTTATTTTAAATACAAACCAATGATGTAAATTAATACGAGATGGTGATTCTTAACGAAAATTTACCATACAAGTAGTTATTGGCATATTTAATTAATTATTGTTGTGAAATATCAAAACAAATACATACTTAGCTGCATCATATAGTTTGCATTTACAACAACGTATTTAAATAGCCATGCAGGCTAGTTCTTAGGTAAAAATTATAAAATGTTTAAGTATTTTTCTGAAGTAATGTATATCGAACCGTAGGATTGTGTTCATTTGATTCTGATTAGATTTTATTTTTAAGTTATATATTTTTGCTATTTCGTGTATAAAAAATATAACTTCTTGATCAGCATTGTACGTGTTATTAACCACTTACCATCTTTTTTTATATTTACCGTCTTGTGAGTAAAAGTATAAGCGTAAATATATGTTTTAAGTGTTATAAGACGTATCTTTTATTTACTATCCGTAAAAAATATGTGTATGATTACAAGATTAATTTCATATAAACCTTTATAGTTAATCATTTGCTAAAAATGCTACTCACTGTTAAATTAAAGGCATGAATAAAAATATTACAAAAGGGGCATAGAATTTTGTAATGAATTTACTATTGGCACTAATCAATATCATAAATTTTTATTATAATTGTCAATTGTAACAAAAAACATTTGTTTAAGCTCCGAAATATAAATTTTTCGTAGTCAATCTTTTCGTTGTATGATGGTTTATTATAATAGGACGTTAAAGAGATATGCTAGAATTGATTTTACTAATTTTTAATCTTAATTTACAGTAAATAATCCCTTAATTCCGCTTTGTTTGTATTTTTCTACTATAAGCAAAATCCTAATTCAACGATAAAATATTAATTAGCTTCTCCGTTGCAGCACCATTATCAATATGTTGATTGGTACAAATTTCACATATGCGAGTTTTGCTATATCAACAAATTGCAGTGTCGTATATGTTTACGATGTGTGTGTGTGTGTGTATAGGCGCATGGGGATGCAGCTACCGGGGGCCTGGCCTGCGCAGCCCCAGTTGGCATCAGCGGCCGTCGCCGCGCAGGGGGCGGCGCTTCAACAGCCCACCCCCGGCATGATGGCCTACCCTGCCATGCAACAGTTCCAGGTACCAACCCACTACCCACTACCCACTACCCACATATACACGGACACACAACTTCAATTTGTATACAAATTAAAATAATTCACAGAAAACATTGCATTTAACTCCTTGCAGCAGAGAGAATTATATTACAGTATAAGACTTTGCCAAATAACAGTAAATAACAGTAAACTTGGGTAATAAATTGAGCACTGGTCCAACCACATTTCCTATATACACTTTGATACAAATTTATATTTAATAAAATAGAAAATTCTCTACCTACTAACAATTGTATAAAACTGCATGGTAAAATGTATTATTTTTTTATTTTGCATGGTATGAAAGTGAAGATCTAATTGCTAGTTGTTTACCCTCAATTCATCGAAATCATTCCAAATTAACATGCTTTATACTCATGAAGCTTATAATCAGTCAGTTAGCTTTGCGTTGAAGCCCTGTTTTGTGTAAAACGTAAATACAAAACATTTTTTGTGCTGTTTCTATCATTTCTTGGGCGGAATGTTTCTTGCTTATTATTAAATGTGGAGAATCCATGCGAGCGATCTTATCTCCAAACTGGGACAGAAAAAGAACAGCTCTCAGTAGGAGCATACTTATGTTACAAAACTACCGCTACAGCTAAGCAGTCAAGTTAATAGCCTCGTTCGAAAGCAATATGCATCTAATAGTAGTTTACGCAACGATTGCGTAAAGATAGTAGTGTTAACGACACGAGTAGAAAATTTAAGGTACAAGCCTTGGCGAGTGCCTTAAAGACTTCTACGAGTGTCGTTAACACTATTTACGCGAGTTGCGTACACTATTTTACCTACGATAGTGTTTTAATTACTAAAAATCACTACTCATAACTTATAAGAGATTATGTTTTCGTTTATAGCCTCTCATTGTCGCTGACAGTGATTTAACGAAACATTGTATCAAACATAATTGCACCAATCAACAATTAAATTGGCCTGAACAGCTGATTAGTTGAATTTCGAATCATTACAATTTTACTTTTCCTCTCTCAATACTTGAACATCATTGGTCCGTTACCAGTTTTGTTATGAGTAAAACTATGCTGTTATGAAAGTAAACAATGCTGTTATGAGATACTTTTCTATTCTAAGAACTGTACCGAAACGGCTACTTTAAAAAAAAACTATCGTAGGTAAAAGCTATTAACTATTTTACTGGCTGTAATCAATCTTTCATTCATAAGATAAACGATTACTCAATTTCTGCCCATTCTAGTGATTTTTAAAGTGTCATACATGTTTAGTTTTAGTTAATATTAACACTAATAGTACACTTTTTCAACGTTTTTGTTGGTTTTAAAATAATTTTAAAAATTAAGAAAAAAATTATATTTCATTATGATCACTGTCAAGGACAAAAACCTGTCACTTTGTTTTACATTAGGATATTGCAAATCTTTAGTTGGTGTATATAACGTATTTTAATATAATATGTTTATAAATCATTTAAAATTATACAGTTCAATACTGAATACTTACCTTGAACGGATCTTATATTTTATATCGTGTATATTGCCTGTCAATGTTTTACGTTTTTCCAAACAGTTTGATTACTTAAACAGCAAACTTAAAACATATTTTTTATGGAATAGGCAATTCCTATATTTTTATAATAAGATTGAAGTATTTGTAGAAGTATGAAAGATCTTGAGTGTTATGAATGTTGAGCTATGATATATTAGTTTGATTTATTTAAATTACCACATGCATTTGTAAAGGCTTATGCTTCATCATCATAGTTTGTTTTAATTTTATTTTGATGCATGCTTCAAACTATCAGTATTAATGTCCACGTTAGCTCTTGTGCGTCAATAGCAACAGGGTCATAAATGTTCCCAGATTTTTAAGCTGCAAACAACAATTAGTCAAGTAACTGTTTTTTTTTTTCTTTTATTAACATGTGTTTGTTGCGTCTATTTAATAATTTCTTATTATTCAGTTGGAAGATTCATCACATAAATATGTTCTGTAACTAGTAAATACCTACTTTGAAATTTTAGACTCGTTTGACTCATGTCTCACCTGTAGCTGACAGTGACAGCGCAAGAGCTACGTGGAGTTGTCTAGTGTTCTGATTTACCTAGTGTTGATTGACAGGGTTCACATCACGCGTATAGCTAGCTCTCTCACAGTCACAGTAGCACAGTGCGGTTTCTCACTGTCAGAGAGTTTCTCAGGCTCTATTGTTTTGTTTCTTAGTTGGCAGAGGACGACTGGCTGGCACCTAGTCTTCTCGTTTGATGGTAGCCTGCTGTACAACTCGCATCATGATCATATCAATACAATCCAATCACATTGTAAAAGTGGAACTTACTTTGTTTAGAAACTTGTAAAAAATTCGAAAGTCTTTCAAGGCCCTGTCAATGTGCTTAGTAATTCGGAATTATTTATTAACAGTGAACCTCGTTCCATTCTTTCCTACGATCGGACGCGGTTTAAATAGATTATTTTGATAATTTAATCGGTGATCGAGTAAACAAATAAAGACTCATTTCTATTTTAGAAAAAACCTATGTAGGGTAAAAAAAACTGTTTGTATGCAAATGAATTGTATTAAACCAGCAAATGATTTGTATTGTTGAAAGTGTTTTTTGCGTTTACAACTTTCTGCTTTGTTAGAAGCCGCTACGTCTCTATTTTGTCTTTTGCCGTTAAAACAGATCCATACTGCCACCGATCAGAAAGAATGTAAGGGGTTCCCGGGCCAGTCTGTGGACTAGGTCTTATTTTCTTTATTTTTTCTTGGTGTGAAAGACCCTGATGATGGGAACGGGGTAAAGTGGCAGAGACATCGCTACTGTACAAGGAAACGCCGCGTCGCGTCGCCCCGCACTACGGACCCTACTCCACCTCCGATCTTAACTTTAAGTTAATTTGTAAGGGAAACATAAATCAGTAATCCAAAAGATAAGTACCCTTTCAAAAGTATTTATGTACAAAATCAAAAGTATAAGTAGCCCCTGGCGAGGGGCGTCTATGTACCGTACTGCACAAGATACACCCGAATCACATGTATATTAAACGCACTTCCTCGATACATCGAGGCGGAATATACCCCTAGATAAGATAAAGATAAGATACACTGGTGATACAGAACTGTAGAACTCGTAGTGAGCAGATGTACGTAGACTAGATATATGTAGTGTTAATATATATGAGATGATATACTATATAGGGGAGAGTATATAGAGGAGCAGACGACCCGGCCCCGGCGCGTCCGTCTTTAGCGGCATCGTTCTTCCATGTCGCCCGGGACCTGCAAATGATACTCGGTCAATTTGAAATTCATTTTGTAAATAAGGCGGAAATCTAAATCGAATAAAATGATTACTTACGCACCGCTGGACGTGATATTTAGCGAGGGTTGTACATAGCATCGGACCGGTGCGTATACCCACGGCAGTAGAGTAGAGTACGGCATCAGAACATATTGGTTGAATTGAATCCTTAGGATCAAAAAATAATGTAACTGTATAAAGAAGGAATGTTTCTGTAACAACATTTTATATAAGCGAGTACATAATAGTGTAAATAGTGTTTATTTACCACACACAGTGATCTGTTAGGTTAGGTGAAACGGTGGATTTGTTAAGGCCGCAAGCATTACGGAACTTGGTCTGGGAAAAGAGAAGAAGCCTAATAAATCTTTATATGTAAGTTTGAAAATTAACAGTACTTTTCAATTTCTATTGTTACTGTTTCAATTAAAAAAATATAAAAAGTGATAAGACCACCAACCTGCTCCCTTTAAATATATTGGTTAAATTGCTATCAACTTTAAAAAAATCATTCGATGATTTTATTAAGTTTTGAATTTTATCAAAGGTTTTGCTGGAGCAACAGTAAAAATAGCCAATGTTTATTTTTTGCCCAAACTGTATAAAACTGTGAGGTGTTTTAAAACCTAAAACAGAGATGTGATAACATTTTTTTATGTCTTAAACTAACCCTTGGTTTGAATAAATAATTCATCTGGGGCCTGTTTTTTCGCTAGCAATTAGAAGCACATGAAATAATTAGTTGTATTTGTTGGAATGATTGTTTAGATTGTTACCCAGCCCTGTTCAATTTCTAAATTTTCTACAGCAATGCAATGATACAAATATAAATTTATAAGCCTTTTCCACATACAGATTGGAATGACGAATAGTATTGTTTTATTAAGAATGTTGCAACAGCCCAAACGAAGTTCCTAATGCTGAAGTTATGAGCGAGCTAGTATTAAGGGTATATTATATATTATTAGCCGGTACAAAGCACTAGCCGTGGAGAGTACTTTTATATAGTGACTAGTACCGCATTTTGATACAACAAAAACAAGGGAACGCTGTAAACGATGGCATTTTTTAATACTGTAGATGGGATGTCGAGCACTATAGGATCCCCGCGCACGCCCCCCTTAACCCTAGCGCTGTCGCCCCCCGTGCCCTATGTATGTCCTACTGTACATGTTACGTTCGAATAGCCGTATGTATCTATTCGACCCGTTTGTTCTTGTTTATTCGGAAAACGTTAATTATTTGAGATGTGATTAATTGTAAGGATGTACATTCAAATCTAATGTTATTATGTCATATGTTCGTTGTTCTACCGGTATTATGTCACTTTACAACGAAATTGTGTTGTTGTTTTTTGTAAAGCGATGTTGTCTATGGTTTTGTTATGCTCCTTACTGTGTGCGGGCAGCAATATCGTTCAACAACGATTAAATATCGATAAAAAATCGGGGGGATCGATTAAAACAACTATGAGTTGTAAATTTAGATTTAAGCCTTTACTTCCTCTACGAGTGTACGTATCAATTCTTTTGTACTTTGATAATATTATGTGTTTACCTCATTTCAGTATGTAATGTAGATAAAAGGCTATCGACTTTACAATTGAAAATCTGTGAATATACGGTTTTCTATGTTACGTAGTTTAGTTTTGAAATTATCTGTTAGACTTTTGTACGGACGAGACAACGAATAACAGCTAGTCATTACGAACATCAGGAGTATTAGTCTTATTTTAGATATAATCGATCGGCTGTGACTCAATGTTTGTTATTATTGTAGGAGTATCGGATCCATTAGTATGTCTTTCTTGCCTAAAACTTGTACACGTGTACTTATGTACAAAGTCTAATAGAAATAGTGTGTAGCACTATGTCTAGTCTAAAAGAGGACGTTGAAGGCTTAAAGCTAAATAGTATATTTACTCAAAATGTTCAAAAATTAAGGGGACATATAAATTAAGCCAAAGGTGGTTGATTGTAAGACAAGATGAACATACCTTCTGGAAACACTGACTGTGCGTTCAGAGATAACTGAAAGAAATTAAACGAATGTGTATATATTAATATGTCGACTTTTATTTATTCACTCCTTAAACCCAACCTTCTTACTTGCTGTAGTTATTGTCTAAACAACCTAAATACACAGAACATCATAAAATTCAACTATAATATTATGAGTTATCGGTTAGGTGTAATTGCAAGTACCATAATGATATTTTTAACGTAATTAAAAAAAAAAATATTTCTTGGTAGTTCCTTTTATGCACTCTTATTTTAAATTTAAAATGAAAATCGGGAATTAATGACTATCCAAAGACGCCTTGTTAGCGACATCTGCCATTTTGTGTTTTGTATTTTTAATTTATACCTTTAGAAAAATACTTAAGATATATATTTGTCGTAGGCCATTAAAAACCTGTTTGGAAAAAAAATTTAAAAATTACCGTACAAAATATGTTTTGTTTTCAAATAGCGGCCATTTAGCTTTTCATATCAATTGCTAAGAAATGTCTGATTTAAAAGAAGTATCGAACAGTTTAATTTAGCATTTAAGTTTATTTTATCAAACAACAGAAAGCTAAAAAAGTCGAATAACAAATAGTTTGTAAAGATTTTTTAGTTTTGGGTTTGGATTTATAGCCCTCGTCAGGCAAAATATGGCCAAAATATTAGGGCCACCTCATTTCAAGCCTAAAAATCGTAATTTTCAGCAATTACCGATTAGATAAACGCTAAGTAATAGTGTTCTTTACATTTTTTTTATTAGCCATTACCTAGTAATTTAAGTTACAAAAATAAAAATAATCGAAATATATACATATATACAGGGTTAGTAAAAAGTCTGGAGACCCCCTGTTAATTTGTTAACGGTACATACTAGAAAAACTAAACCCGGCACACCTTTATGGCATGTTATGAAGTACGTTTTGTGCATAACCGCCACTTGGTGTACATCCCCAAAATGGGGGATTTCGGGAGAAACTCAAATAAATTCAAATGGTAAGGCTCACCGAGTTAACCCTCATTTTGAAGGTCCTTATAAAAGAAAACTAATAACGCAAACTAGAGATCTCTATCTCAATCCAGTAAAAAATGGCAGCTGATTGAAATCTTTAGAAATCAGAATTAACTTACAAATTTCCTTACAATTCCTTCCACATAATACAAGACAGTTATTTGATAGGTTTAAAATTTGAACCCGAACTATCCATGCTTTTTATACCTTAAAAATTATAAGTCAATTATTGGTGCTTATAATTAACAATTCTTGTTGCCGCAAAAACGATACTTTTGCAAAGGTTGCAGAAGATAAATCTGATTTCTAAAGATTTCAATCAGCTGCCATTTTTGACTGGATTGAGATAGAGATCTCTAGTTTGCGTTATTAGTTTTATTTTATTAGAACCTTCAAAATGAGGGTTAACTCGATGGGTCTTACCATTTGAAATTCAGGGATAGCATTATCGTTATCTATAATTGAGGATTTTTAAAAACCAAAAACAAAACCAAAGATTTTTGTATAACTGTCAATATTGGCTTCGACAACTGGGAAATGGAACCCTTAAACCATAAAATTATACTTAATGTGGTTAATAAAACTGTTAATTTGGTATAGTACTTATTTACTTCCCTTAACTTTCATCACAAACGGATGGTCGTTTGGTAAGGCATAAATAACAAACATTGGATTTCACATATATAGATAACAACAACATAAGCAAACAGAGCGACTTTTTTAGACATAAATATGGTGTACCTAGGTATATCCATCTTGAAAAATAAATAATTTGATTCTCAGTTTGCTTGAATATTAAAATAAGCTGTTTTACATTTCGAGCTATTTAGGGAATCATGTCCCTACATGCCCCTAGTTATTTATTAAAGCTGTAAGCTTTGATACATCTGGTGTAATGATCCACGAGGACGGAGAAATCTTATCCTATGACATGTAAAGTATGTGAAGCTTTTAACACAAGACTCAGATCATGTGCCTTTCTACAGAATGTTCTCAGGACATTGTGTGACTCATTAACTCGGCAAGCAGCTACAACATCAGATCAGAGGAGATATCACCATGGGCCAACTCATCCAGGCTAGATCTTATTCAAACGTGTACAAAATCCAACCATTATATAATCTATCCTCTATATCTATAAAATAGGAAGACTACGGGCATAGGAAGTAAACGGGGCAAAGCCCGCGATTACAGCTAGTGTAAACGTAAAAACCTTTATCAAAGTATTAAACACAATAAAAGGGATGGCAATGCCTTAATATTTTATCTTTCGTTCTATGTATATATGAAATGTTACATATATATATATATATATATATATATATATACATATATCTCTATATACTTATATATATACCTTATGGACTCCAAAAGTGCTTAACAGATTGTAATGCAACTTTCAGGCATTATTAAGCATTATTCAAGGATTGGTTTGTGTGAAGTTTGGTGCAGATCCGTCAAAAGGGCTCTGCCCCAGGGGGGTTTTAAATGGGCCAATGTCAGACTTTTTGAACTACAATGTTTACAAATAAATATAACTAGCTGTTAGTCATGATTTTAAATAGTGTCACAATGATTCCACAGAGTGCAGCAAATGAAACTATTTTACTTTTGAATATAAGTCCAAATATATTAAACCTCAATCGCAGCACACCTGTGCACTCAACAACGGTTATATTCTCCAATGTTAAATATCTATATACAGGGTGGGGCAGGGAAATATCCCTACTTTTAAGTTGGCATTGTGAGTAGTTGGGGTGTGCTGGAGGAATGGGGTTAGGCTCAAATGAAGATTTTGTTTTGGGAATTTCTAAAAATATCACTATCAGTAGTAGATATTGCTCGTTCGAGTGAGCAATGTGCTTTTGCACTCGAGATGTATATTTTTTCAAAAATCAGTCTATTGTTGCTGTGCAGCTACCATTGGCTGTCGGGTTATCGGGTGGCCTGTCGCAAAGCTGCTACAATTTGGTGTGGGTGAATTACTTTCGTGTATGTGGTGGTGTATTGCGAAGGATATTTGGAGCTCAAAGAACCGTCCAGAGTCCTGAAAACATTGACCTTGTAAGAAGATCGATTTTGCAGTCTCCTCAAAGTTCTGCTTGTAAGCATGCATCCGCATTGGCGTTGTCTAATCGTACTGTGCCTCGTATTCTCCATGATGACCTACACCTCCATCTATACAAGAGGGTAGTTGCTCATGAACTCACACAACAGGACTGGCAACAACGAATGCAGGCATGTGAAATCTTAATTGCGGGACTACCTCATGCTGCTCGGGTTTTGTTCAGTGACGAGGCACACTTCCATATCCCTTTAGCGGGTAATCAAGCAGAATGTGCTCTATTGGAGTGATGCTAAGCCTAGGGTAGTTCAAGGGAAGACCCTAGATGCCTTGAAGGATGCAATTCACCTTGAATTTTGCCTCTTTCCACAACACATGCTTCACAAAGAAATTATGAACTCCAGAACCAGAATACAGCAATGCATTTAAGATTAGGGACGCCACTTGCAGGATATGCTGTTTAAAACCAAGTAAAGTTATATTAAAATAAACTCCCAGATGTAACCTTTTAATCTCAATAAAAAGTTTGGTTCTAACATTTTTGGTTGTCTTTTAATTTACCTTCAAAATTAGGGATACTTCCCTGCCCCACCCTGTATATATATAAGGCAAAGCCCTCACTGACTCACTTACTCACTCACTCACTCACTCACTCATCACTAATTCTCCCACTTCCCATGTACCTAGGAAGCTGAAATTCGGTACACCGATTCTTTGGGCATTAAATAGGAAAACTAAGTAGTTTTTATTCTGATTGGGCTTTCGGGCTCCGCCCCAGTGACTCTGGAGTTTCCCATGTTAACCTTATGATTTTCTATATTTAAAAATTAATGAATTTTAACAGCTATTTCAATTAAACAAGTTGTTTCTGTTCTATGATGTTCAATGGCATTAAAGTTACAAGGGTTACCAACAGGGTGCAGCACTATCATTTTTTTTTATTTATGACAACAGCTAATTTGTAACCAAAAGGTTAGTGAGCGTAGAAACGAACTTCAACCTGGAGGCGAGTTAGCGTAGCGAACGAGCTAACCTAAAGACAAGTGAGTGCAGCGACCGAGCCCCAACCTAAAGGTGAGTGAGCGTAGCGAACGAACTTCAACCAGGACGTGATTTGAGCCATGCGAACGAGCTCATCTTGAAAATGAACGAGCATTGACATAAAACCACATTAGGACAGGACGACGTCTGTCGGGCCAGCTAGTATAGACATAAAATTGAACATTGACGAGACATACAATGTTGAATGACATATTACACCGTGTCCCAAAAAAAACTGAACAATTTTATTTACTTATAAAAAGTTTATTAACAATCACACGATAAACTAATTACATTTTAACTGACACAAATATTCCTAAGTTTTGTTTGATATCATATGTGTTAATGATTTTCAACATGGTTGCCATTGTTGGCAAAAAGATAGTCAATACGGCTTTCCAATTCAGCCCACACTCTATGGTGCATTTCGTCAGTAATGTTAGTAAAGGCTGCATTTATTCTTTGCCTCAATTCTCGGACATCGGAAACTTCTGTCTTATAAACTTATAATTTTTAAAAATTTAACTCACATGCTGCACAGCGAACAGACTTTCGAGGGTCGTGAAGAAATAATTGTTGCACGTTTTCAATCAATTCATTTTGGATTTTCGGCCTACCTTTACCTTTTAAATGTTGTAAGCTTCCAGTTAACATAAATTTGTCATACCAGGCTCGAATGCTGTTCCGTGATGGAGGACGTCGACCATAGCGTCTTCTAAATGTTCTTTGAACTGCCATATCTGACTTGAATGTACCACTCAACACATTGCGCTTTCTCTCGTGCGTTCATGGTGCCTGCTTAATGACAGGGCAATGTTTTTAAATTTCAAGTTTCAAGCGACAACAATGAATCAGCTGATAGTTACAATTGATATTGAACAAAACTTCATGAACTCAGTTATCATATGACCACCTTCAAAGTAGACTAG